AGTATTAAGCCTCAATTGTCAACTATACATTGGATTGGTTTCTTCTTTAAATAAAAAAAGTAAAAATATGATATTATAATGTTATAATGTTTATTATATAATACATTATTATTATTATAATACATTATTATAATGTGTTATAATGTTATGCTAAAACAAAAATTTGAACAATTACGTAATTGTGGCATCCGTAATTGTAATCGCGATTAGAAATTCGATTAATTGTGCAGCCCTAATATTAATCATACATTATATAAATTCATATATACGAGTTAAAATTATTATTACATTGCTATATTTATATTTTTATAAATCAATAAATAATTATAATAATATGAACAGAATATATATATATATATATACATACATATATATAGTGTGTTCAAACTTTGTGTGTTTTTCACACCTGCTCTGTAGTTGCTGATGGTAGCTGAGCTTTTTTGAAATGGTCACCCTGGTCTGAGGACACATAGATGACACGGGGAGAGGCCTGTAAACACAACATCTCATAAATCAAGCATGCTTTGATGATTCTTACAGGAGGGAAAATGAAAAAGGGTGGGCAACATGGTGTGTGTTCATGTGGGTGAACACATGCTTGAGTGTGCATGTTGTCTGAGTTCCACACCAGTTTTTCCATGACAGAGGTAAACAGGAAGCCACCGATATATCCGAAGGAGAAGACGCTCTTGGCGATGGTGGTGAAATTTTTGCCGAAATCCTGCGTCCGTCTTAGAATAAGCTCGCCTCGTCTTGCTGCCTCCACTGGTTCAAACCCAATTAATAGAGTTCATTAATTTATCATTCAATTTATAAGCATGGCCAATTTTCTGTGTTGTACATAAAATGTATCTCAAAGAACATCAATTATTTTTGTCTAATGATTCCTTTAATGTTATTTAATGAAAAAACCTAGATGAAATCACTCACCAGTTCCTTTTGGGCTGGAACTGAAGAAAAGAGTGATTCCAGATCCCCTTTGAAAGAAATAAAAAAGTGAATCTATATTTTAGTTACAGAAATTAATAGTTTTTTTCCAATAAGCATATGTTTCTTAACCGTCTGAAAAAAGTTATAGAAAATATTTTGAAAAAAAAAAAAAATTTAAATAGATGATGACCATGTGAACGTGTGAACTCCTTTGTGAACTTCAGACCAACTGTTCCCAAAGTCTTGTGAGAGCCATAGCCCATCCTAAAGAGAGAGAGCATGTCAACAAACTGTCACATATGACATCTTAAGGGGATACTCCACCCCAAAATGAAAATTTTGTCATTAATCACTTACCCCCATGTCGTTCCAAACCCGTAAAAGCTTTGTTCGTCTTCGGAACACAATTTAAGATATTTTGGATGAAAACCGGGAGGCTTGTGACAAGCAGCGTACGCTATTCTGTGTCAGCCGCGACACAAGGATACGTTTTCTACGTGTATTTACACTTTGATTTGAACGAAAACAGCACATCCGTGCAGCGCGGCTGACACAGAATAGCGTACGCTGCTTGCGTTCGGTGGTTATTCTCCAAAATGGCGCTACGGTGATGCAGTGAGACACAGAGGAGACGAATTGTTGAATTAAGTCGTTATTTTTGTTTTCTTCGCTTACAAAAAGTATTCTCGTCGCTTCATAACATTACGGTTGAACCACTGATGGCAGATGGACTATTCTGACGATGTCTTTCATACTTTTCTGGACCTTGACAGTGTAATTTACTTGGCAGTCAATGGGACAGTCACAAGCCTCCCAGTTTTTATCTAAAATATCTTAAATTGTGTTCCGAAGACGAACGAAGCTTTTACGGGTTTGGAACGACATGGGGGTAAGTGATTAATGACAAAATTAGCATTTTGGGGTGGAGTATCCCTTTAAGTGTCTTAAGTGTCAACTAATTAAAAATACAATCAGGGGTGTCAGAAACCTGAATCACCTCACAAACTGTTAAGGGGGCTTGAAAGAGTAGGAGGTAAAACCTTACTCACATCAATGCTGATGACCACAATGTATTTTGGGTCCTGGTAGTGGAACTGAATGGCCTGTGCTGGATGGAATGGAAGCTGCACTGATCTGAACGTCACACCAGCATCCATTGACGTAAAAATAACTCCTCCTGGGGTCTCGGTGAAAGGCAGGTTGGCTGTTAGAATAACCTATAATGGTGACAAAAACGTTACATACAATTTACTTATAAAACAATAAAGGACAGAAATCATGAAGTGGAGAAATTACAGTGTAGTTTTTTTTGTTTTTTTGAGATGATGACAAAAGTTAGTTCCAAAGAACTAACACACAACAGGATATTAGCTTCACACCAGCCCCACTTCAGATGAAGTTATAAAAAGAGTGTGGTTTCATGATAGTTATTGGTTTTAACACAAAGCGGCTGCTGTCAACAGCAATGTCTGTTAAAACCATGAGCTGTCATGAGACAATTGTAAATGTCATGGCCTTTTCTGTTTGGATGGAAAAAAATATTTCTCACATACTGACAACTACGTACAATGACAAAGTACTGGAAAAAAGGTCATACTACATCTAATATTATTATTAGTTATCACAGCATTAGCTAAGACAAGTTTGACTCGTGAGAGATAAAGCCATGGCTTCAGACTTGATGTTAGCACATCTGTTTACCTGTTGAGGGTTCCCAGGTCCAGCACTTATCCCAAAGTCCTTCTTTATAAATGTGTTGTTAATGGCATGGCAGACATCATGAAAAGACTTTCCATAGTCTTCACTATAAAAAGATTCAGCTTATTAGTAAATAAGTCCAAATTGGTTGCATCTTTTAAGAAACAGCTGGCTAGGCCAATAAACAGGGCGATTTTTGGCTGGTTTGAGATCAGCATCTGTGGTCACTTAGCTAATTAAAAGAAGCACCAGTAAAAGCCTGAATAGGCCACATTAGTCTACATCTGGGGTGCCTCGTCCTGTTCCTGGAGAACTACTGTCACGCAAAGTTCAGCTCCAACCCTGATCAAACACACCGGAACCAGCCAGTTAAGATCTTCAGGAGCACCTGACTATTACAGATTGCAGAGCTGAAGTCTGCAGGTAGATAGATCTCCAGGAACAGGATTGGGCAGCTCTGGTCTACATTGTATTCAGGTAAAAATTGCACCACTTTCCTCCTATAAAGACGTGATGAACCGCCTTCATAAAATGAGTCTGAGGAAGCGCTGAGTGTGGAAAGGACCAGGATTACCTGCGATGGACAGAAAAAGCGTTCAGACTACCCCTGCATAATTTCTTTAAATAAAATAATATATGTGACCTTTTCAAATAGTTGTATCTCAGCCAAATATTGTCCTATCCTAACAAACCTTACATCAATGGAAAGCTTATTTATTCATTCTTAATAAACTCATGCTTTCAGATAATGTATAAATCTTAAGACTGGTTTTGTGGTGCAGGGTCACATATATAAAACCTTTACATTTACATCTACATTTAGTCATTTAGCAGACGCTTTTATCCAAAGCGACTTACAAATGAGGACAATAAAAGCAGTCAAAACTAACAAAAGAGCAACAATATATAAGTGCAAATGACAAGTCTCGGTTAGCCTAACACAGTACACGTAGCAAGGTGTATATATATATACAGTGGTGTGAAAAAGTGTTAGCCCCCTTCCTGATTTCTTATTTTTTTGCATGTTTGTCACACTTTAATGTTTCAGATCATCAAACAAATTTAAATATTAGTCAAAGATAACACAAGTGAACACAACATGCAGTTTTTAAATGAAGGTTTTTATTATTAAGGGAAAACAAAATCCAAAACTACATGGCCCTGTGTGAAAAAGTGTTTGCCCCCTAAACCTAATAACTGGTTGGGCCACCCTTAGCAGCAACAACTGCAATCAAGCGTTTGCGATAACTTGCAATGAGTCTGTTACAGCGCTGTGGAGGAATTTTGGTCCACTCATCTATGCAGAATTGTTGTAATTCAGCCACATTGGAGGGTTTTCGAGCATGAACCGCCTTTTTAAGGTCATGCCACAGCATCTCAATAGGATTCAGGTTAGGACTTTGACTAGGCCACTCCAAAGTCTTTTCTTCAAAAAAAATTGTGTTTTTCTTCAGCCATTCAGTAGTGGACTTGCTGGTGTGTTTTGGATCATTGTCCTTTGAACTCAGGTGTGATAAACCACAGTTTTAACAGGGGGGCAAACACTTCTTCACACAGGGCCATGTAGTTTTGGATTTTGTTTTCCCTTAATAATAAAAACCTTCGTTTAAAAACTGCATGTTGTGTTTACTTGTGTTATCTTTGACTAATATTTAAATTTGTTTGATGATCTGAAACATTAAAGTGTGACAAACATGCAAAAAAATAAGAAATCAGGAAGGGGGCTAACACTTTTTCACACCACTGTATATATTATACATACACACACACACACACAAAGAAAAACAAGTAGATAGAATAGATAAAATAGAATAGAAAAATATAAATAAATTTTTTTTTAATAAAAAAAAGAAGATAAATGTAGATAAAGTAGAATTGAAATAGAATAGAAAGTGCTAGAGTTAGAGGGTCAAATAAAGATGGAA